AGAGAGTATAGGGAGTATAGGAAGTATAGGGGGTATAGAGGATTTAGGGGGTATAGGGAGTATAGGGAGTATAGAGGGTATAGGGGGGGTATAGGGAGTATAGGGTTATAGGGGGTATAGGGAGTATAAGGTTATAGAGGGTATAGGGAGTGTAGGGTTATAGGGGGTATAGGGAGTATAGGGTTATAGGGGGTATAGGGAGTGTAGTGTTATAGGGGGGTATAGGGAGTATAGGGTTATAGGGAGTATAGAGGGTCTATGGGGTATAGGCAGTATAGGGGGTATAGGGAGTATGAGGTTAATTTATTTATATTGAACTCGACATGCTAATTTATTTATAAGGCTGTAACTTAGAATATAGGTACTGAGCCCCTCCCCCCTTCCTGTACAACACATAACTTCCTTTCCCATCATAGGCGGTAGTAGTCGGCGGACTCGCTGTGCGGTTGCTGCGCGGAGATAAAAACACATATATTTAAGATTTGTCTATTTTCAGATGAAGACGTTTCCGTTGGATCTCCGGGAACATTCGCAGAATATTTTTTATCTATAGCAGAACTCTGAATCCATACGAGGGTCCGACATTCCGGAAACCATCCGGCCCTCAGGAGTCCCTCGTGCTGTTTTTGGTTCAAGGAAAGTCACACTTGGGTCCAGGGCCGGGGGTTGGCGGAAGAGGAGGCCACCCTGGGCAGGTGGCCCGCTTCAGCAGGAGGGGGCACAATAAGGGAAGGAACTGCAATGTATATGGCTGAATTAGTTGACAGGTCATGCAGGAAGGAAGGGGAAAGTGCGCTTTGGCTTTTTCACCTTGGGTGCTTATGGACCTTGTCCCTGTTTGGGTCGCCCTAGCATTGCATGTGTGTGTTATGCAGAAGAAAGAAAGTGAAAGCTGCGGAAGAAGGTCACCTCAAGGTGGGGGGGACAGGGGCTACCAGTGGCCATGCTGATACACATTTCCTGGGCATGGTCCACCATAGTCACTATTAGGAAACTGACCCATAGGAGTGATGAGCAGCTAATGGTGGAGCGAGTGCATGTAGACAGGAAGTGGCTATAGGAACCTGAAGGAGATCAGAAGCACTGAGATGTAAAAAAATTGCTTTAGTCACCCAACACAGTTGGGGTTTTGTTGTATTTTATCCATTTATATGGCAGCTTGTCAATGGAGAAGATGGTTGATGATGATTGTTATAGATGGTGGGTTGTGGTCATATTCTGGAGGTGGCCTCATTCCTGGTGGTATCTGACTTGTCCTCTTTTCTCATTACAGGAGACGCACAACACCATTTACGAAGATGAACCTCTACGCCATCCTCTGCTTAGCGTTCCTGCCAGACCTCTGCCACCTTCAGCTGGCCTTCGATTACTCGGAGAACAACGGTGCAAGTCGACCCAAATGCACGTACACGTTCGTGGTGGCGCAGCAAAAGATTACCGGGGCCGTCTGCATCAGCACGGCAAAGTTCCCCGAAGCTTTTGGTGTGAACAGAAGCGAGGTGGAGGAGCTCAAGCAGGAGCTGAGCCGTCAGCAGACGGACATAGAAATGCTTAAGAAAATGGTGGATGTCGACCACGAGGCGGCCACCGAGATGGACCATCTAAGGAGAGAGAACAGGAACATAGGATCCCGTCTCAGCCTCCTCCGTACACAGTTCCTCCATGAAATCCACCAGAGGAGCAACGAGACGACTGAATTTGTCCCGGAGGAGAGCAGAGGCATCAATGCCACGGCTGAAGTTGTGAAGTTGGCCTCCAAGTACAAAGACCTCCAGGATAAATATAATGTTCTGGCGTCTTTGGTTAACAACCAGAGTGTCACCATAGCGCGTTTAGAAGAGCAGTGTCTCCAAACCAGCTCTCGGCGTCCCGCTGATCAGGTACGGCTCAGTACATGGTTCAGAACCTTAATTTATCCAAAGTAAGTCAAAACCCCTAACAAAGCGCGGTCCAATCTGCTTTTACAGAGGCAATACCTTCCCTTCCCCTGGTGACAATTAGATAATCCTTGCGTCTACATTACATAGTTACATAGTATTTGAGGTTGAATAAAGACATAAGTCCATCAAGGCCAACCATATAACTTTACAAATGTTCTGTAGATTGTCCTGGGACCAGGGGCGCCCTCTTAATTGGGGTCCGGCAGGCACGGCAGAGATTGTAGGGTCCTTCTTGGGGTGATTTGGTGCCTGGCGGCGGCTGGTTGCAGGTGCGCACGTGTCTTGCGTGTGTGACGTGCGCGCACATGTGACGTTGCCGTGGCCTATTAGTCACCTCAGGTGCTGATCATTGCCAGGGAGGGCCTTGCGAGCACACTTTCCACCCGTAGCCATCCCATTGGTTCCCAGGGACCTGTAGCTTCCTCGTTGCCCAGACAACGGGGGCGTTTATGGTTCCTGCTGGGTTTAAATCCCAGCCAGAGCCAAGACTTGTTGCTGAGTTATTCTGCCGTACCCAAAGCAGCTACGAAGCCTCATTTCCTGTTTCCTGCCTTCCTGCCCTGCTATTTGGATCTCCTGGTTATCGACCCCTGGCTTGTCTCCCCGTTTATGATACTCGCTGCCTACCTCCACCCGGTCTGTACTCTGACAAAGCATTTTGGATCATGCTATCTTCTACCTCAGCCTGGACTCTCCTTCTGGTATTGTTTCCTGCTATTGGGGTCCAATCCAGCAAGCAAGGGAACTTCACTCCTTTCCCTAATATAGATGGACCTTTTTGTTCTGTCCATTTAGCAAAGCATCTACACAGGGGCGTAACTAGAAATCACAGGGCCCCAGAGCAAAATCTTGTATGGGGGGCCCTGTGATTTCTAGATAAGTCCACCTGATAACCCAAACAGCCCACCTGAGGGTGACCCTGCAGAGCCCACCATAGACTCTCTATGGTGGGCTCTGCAGGGTCTCAGGTGGTCGGTCAAGCCTTCTTACCTGTCTGGCTGATGCAAACCAGCCAAAAATATTTTTTTCCCCCCATTGCGTTCTGTTCTGTTGCGTTTTTGACGCATTTGTGCGCGTTCCACACCAGACAAAATATAACATGCAGTATAGGTCTGGTCTGGAACTGACTGCGATGGTAGGAACTGAGGCCAAGAAGAGCATAGGGAAACAGCGGGATGCATTTTAGGTCCAGAAACAATCTGGTCTGGAGATGATCTGGAGGTGGTGTGAATGGGCCCTCAGGGTTTTGTTGCAGCACGCTGAGTCTCGGCCATAGATAACCATGTGATATATGTGTTTGCAGGCTCCACCATCTGATGGTAACCCTACTGATGAAAAGAAGAAACAAAACCATGAAGTGTATGGAGAGGAGAGGGATCCCGTAGCTGTCACAAAGGAAGGTCCTCAGGCACAATCAGATCCAGTCCCTACGACAACCTCCAGCACGCCTGTTGTCACAGAACCAGAGGCCACCAAATCTATAGGTACTTCAGATGTGATGACAAAGACAGAAATAAAAGTTCCATTGTACTGTATATCTAAAGCCAAAACTTTTTGGGGGGGAAAGATTAGGGAATGGTTAGAGCCCCTTTCAGTTTTTGGGGAGATTTCCGTTCATATCTTGTCCTGGAGATCCAACGGAAACCCAAAGGAAATCTCTCCATTTAGCCAACTATTGCGGAAAAAGGTTTCCCCTTTTCCAGTCATAATGGTCACTCGGGTGGGAGAGAGAGCGAATCTCTCCAACAGTGACACAGACAACAGTCTAAAAACAAAGCTTTGCTATAGAAACACGTTAACTCTTATCAGGATGCCAACACGTGAAACCTCAGACAGTTCTAGGTGGACTACCCATCTAAAAAAGGTAATATTGGCCAAGCATGCAACTTCACAAGCCTCCGCTTGTCCTTCCCTCACCTCCAGCCTCCTTCTCTTACCCCCTTTAGACTTAGGAGCTCCTTGCTGCTAGTTCTCACAGGTTGGAATGTGGTCCATTCTAGGTGGGGCAGGATCTGGGAACTCTGAGAAGACCATAAAGTCTATAAAAGGTTGACAAGTCCTCCAGCCTCCCCAGAACCTGAGCCATCAAAGAAAACAAGTGAGAAGATGAAGTTAGGTCATAGAGGTGTTGGTTCTGAATATTTTCATGTCTTCGGCCAGGACCTTGGGTGGATTGTTACGACGCCTTGCAGGGTGGACAGACGTCAAGCGGCATCTATCTCCTGAAACCCCGTAACAGCAACCAGATCATGCAGGCCTGGTGCGAGCAGTCTCTGAATGGAGGGGGATGGACGGTCATACAAAGGCGACAAGGTGGATCAATCAATTTTTTCACCACCTGGCAAAACTACAAGGTGGGCCCAGCTTTCGTTTTACCTAAAATCCAGAAAATAAATACAAATTGTGAAAAATGTTCTTGTGTTTCAAAAAGTTCTATGCAGTTGCCTTCAGACTGCAGATAATCACGCGCGTTCCGCAGTGCCAATGACTAAGTGTGTAGTCACCTGCAGTGTTACTGTGCGTTAAGGGGCATTGTGATCAGGCGCACTCTCTCACCTAATACTGAGGGAGATCACAGAGTCTGCCTGGTCCTGGTATCTGAGGTAACCTTTCATATTGTGCTCTCATGCTTCTATGTTTGCTCTTTTTCCCCCCAGCACGGATTCGGTAACTTGGACAGTGAATACTGGTTGGGCCTCGAGAACATTTTCTGGTTGGCCAACCAAGACGGCTACAAACTCCTGATCCTCATGGAGGACTGGCAGGGACGACAAGCCAGTGCCGAATATGACCACTTCAGGCTGGAACCAGAGAGTGACTTCTACAGGCTGAGGCTGGGCCAGTACAAAGGGACAGCCGGGGACTCGCTCTCCTGGCACAATGACAAGCAGTTTAGCACCCTGGACAAGGACAGAGACGCCTACCTGGGTAAGTCACGTTTGCGTCTACATCCACTTTGGTTTCATAATTTAGGGAGGGTCAATGCACCAAAAACTGGGTTGATGTTGGCTTCTTATATCTCCAAGGAATTCCATGTTGGCTTCTTATATCTCCAAGGAATTCCATGTTGCCTTCTTATACCTCCAAGGAATTCCATGTTGGCTTCTTATACCTCCAAGGAATTCCATGTTGGCTTCTTATACCTCCAAAGAATTCCATGTTGGCTTCTTATACCTCCAAAGAATTCCATGTTGGCTTCTTATATCTCCAAGGAATTCCATGTTGGCTTCTTATATCTCAAAGGAATTACATTTTATATATCCAAGGAATTCCATGTTGGCTTCTTATATCTCCAAGGAATTCCACGTTAGCTTCTTATATCTTCAAAGAATTCCATGTTGGCTGCTTATATCTCTAAGGAATTCCACGTTCTGGTAGACCTCCACCTCTCCATAGTTCAGGTAGACCTCTGCCTCTCCATAGTTCTGGTAGACCTCTGCCTCTCCATAGTTCAGGTAGACCTCCACCTCTCCATAGTTCAGGTAGACCTCTGCCTCTCCATAGCTCAGGTAGACCTCTGCCTCTCCATAGTTCAGGTAGACCTCCCCCTCTCCATAGTTCAGGTAGACCTCTGCTGCTCCATAGTTCAGGCAGACCTCTGCTCCATAGTTCAGGCAGACCTCCATAGTTTAGGTAGACCTCCACCTCTATATAGTTCAGGTAGACCTCTGCCTCTCCATAGCTCAGGTAGACCTCTGCCTGCTCAGGTAGACCTCTGCCTCTACATAGTTCAGGTAGACCTCCACCTCTCCATAGTTCAGGTAGACCTCTGCCTCTCCATAGCTCAGGTAGACCTCTGCCTCTCCATAGTTCAGGTAGACCTCCCCCTCTCCATAGTTCAGGTAGACCTCTGCTGCTCCATAGTTCAGGCAGACCTCTGCTCCATAGTTCAGGCAGACCTCCATAGTTTAGGTAGACCTCCACCTCTATATAGTTCAGGTAGACCTCTGCCTCTCCATAGCTCAGGTAAACCTCTGCCTCTACATAGTTCAGGTAGACCTCCACCTCTCCATAGTTCAGGTAGACCTCCGCCTCTCCATAGTTCAGGTAGACCTCCGCCTCTCCATAGTTTAGGTAGACCTCCACCTCTCCATAGTTCCCCACCCCCACTATAGAACTTTCCATACAATTCCACATTGGAGTAATTTGATATATTGCATAAAAGCCCTTCTGTATCATCTCCCTTCTTCTGTCCTCCTCAGGTAACTGTGCCCATTTCCAGAAAGGAGGCTGGTGGTATAACATGTGTGCTCACTCTAACCTGAATGGGATGTGGTATCGTGGAGGTCATTATAGTAGCCGCTACCAAGACGGCGTGTACTGGGCTGAGTTCCGAGGTGGTGCCTACTCTCTGAAGAAGGTCTCGATGCTGATAAGGCCCAACAAGTAGACATCACTTCTGTTTACATTCACATTCAGTCTTCTATAAAGTAAAATAGGATTTTTGTACTTACCGTAAAATCTCCCCGCCTCTGAATTCCTCCGCCCATTGAGGGACACAGGAATTCAGATACAGTCGTATTATACTGCCGCCTAAGGAGGTGGGGACACTAGGAAAATTGTAAGATAGCCCCCTATAACCCCTCAGTTTTGTAGGAAAGCAATACATAGACAATTCAGAGAGGTGGGACCTGTGTCCCCCCCAATGGAGTCCAAGAGAAAGGTACAAAAGACTCATGTTCTTCATGGCCCATTGAGGGGACACAGGAATTCAGAAAAAGTTAAGACATCCAAAAGCAGTTCAGCTGAGGGGAGGGGCAAACGCCACTGACAGAACCAAGAAAGGACCAGGAACCGTCTAGAGCCCAGGACTACCAGAAGGACCAAAGCCAGAAGAGATTAAGTTCCCTGCAAGACAGGGGAGTCTGCCAATGACTACACTAGACCACAGAGGTTCAACCTGCTGCTCTGACCAGGACAGAAGAGACCACCGCCATGGGGAACAACTCCACCAACCAAGAGAAGGGGGCCGAACTAAAAGACCACCAGGAGAGGTGGAACGGGCAACTACCTGACCAGGAACATGTACACCGGCAATGTGATACGGCCAACCAGGGGAACATTGGGGGCAGACCGCAGGAGAACGTGTCCCGAGAGGGGACAGTGGACAAGAAATGTCCAGAGTAGGAGACTAGAAGGTCTACAAGCTAAAAAAGTTCAGAGCTGGAGGAAAGGAGTCCAGTCTCCTCAGACTGAGGCATGCTGGGTAGAGGGTTGGGGGGGTTGTACTGGGTCTCAGTTACAGTGCAGTGTCCTAAGGATGAGCTCAGTTTCAGACTGAGCCTGATCTCCTCTGAACCCGTCAGGAGCTCCTCTCGAACATGGCAGGAAGTATGGAATTCCCCACCTGCAGCTCGACTTAAGAAAAGGGGCGGGACGCAGTGATGTCATTGACCTTATATGGCTACATGCCTGTATTTGCTAGTTCGGTGGCCATATATGGAAGTCATGTCAGCACAAGCACCCCACCCCTTTCTTTGTATGCAGTTTCAGGGCAGGGAATGCACAGCCCGCAGCTGATTGGGTCCCTTGTTAGAAGCTGATCTCATCCCTAGTCCCAACCTTCTGCAGGCGGCAGTGTAACCCGGCTGTTTTCGGAGTCCCCGTGTCCCTCAATGGACGGTGGAGAAAATACTCAAGATCCTTCCCTGGTCCTCATCAGTCTACAGAAGGCAACTGTCTGACTTGGTGAACAAGCCGACCTTCCTGCTCTCTTCCCCGGTGAGCGCCGCCATACAATGGTTTCGGTAAGATTATTTTTAGGTGTTTCCCGCTTTGATGTCACTTCTCTTACCGTGAAGAACCCTTTCCATGGCGGAAGGTCAAAGTCTTCCCTGCGGCCCCCGGGAACATAACACGCGTCCTCTTAGAGTCTGTTGTCTTGTAATGAATGTATTTATGTCTATTGACCTCGTGTTCCCCTATGCGATGCAGTGCGTTCCGGCCAGAATCGGAACGCACTGCATCTGGTGTGAACGAGGCCTAAGACAGGGGTAGCCAAGCCCCCGTCTACGGTGAAACTACAAATCCCATGATGCATCTCTCTCCGGGAGTCGTGTCTGTGAGAGTCTTGCAATGCCTCCTGGGATTTGTAGCTCCACCCACAGCCGGAGGGCCGGGAGTCCGCCCACCCCCTGCCCTAAAACGTATTTTCCAGCTGCCGGCATTTTACTGCTCTCTGGGGCTGCGTGAAGAGAGATTTCCCCTCACTTCCTGTCCGGCTGATGATGTCACCAGACAGGAAGTGAGGGGAAATCTGTGACCAGACGCGACTCTTCTAAATAAAAGATTTGTTTTTATAATTTCTGTTCATGTTTTATACAAAATAAAGCGATCAGTGACTTTCCAGGTCTGCGGGAATCAATTCCGGATCTTTCCTCATATATATAGCAACAGTGTCATATTTCCACAAAGCTCCACCTTTGTGTCATCAGTCTGCTGCAGGCAGGAGGAAGCATTTCCTCCGTCTCCCCTCCCCCCAGTGATCAGTCAGCTGCAGGCAGGAGGAAGCATTTCCTCCGTCTCCCCTCCCCCCGGTGATCAGTCAGCTGCAGGCAGGAGGAAGCATTTCCTCTGTCTCCCCTCCCCCCGGTGATCAGTCAGCTGCAGGCAGGAAGAAGCATTTCCTCAGTCACCCCTCCCCCAGTGATCAGTCTGCTGCAGGCAGAATGGAAGCATTTCCTCAGTCTCCCCTCCCCCCAGTGATTAGTGATCATGTGTGGGCGGGATCTTTAGGGCCGGCATCAGTCACTGTACTGCCCTTGCTGAGCATTATATGAAAGAACATATCCCGGGCATCCCTAAGGGCCACCGGGAGGCGCAGACTTTAGCTGCGCGGTCTGCTGATCAGTTGCTTGATTACAGAGTGTGACACGGCAAGTGATCAGCAGATCGCACAGCTAAAATCTGCGCCGCCCTGAGGCCGCACGTCTAAAAGGGATGCTCTCTTTCGCATAATGCTTGGGGCGGGGCCCGGTGATGTTTATAAAAGCCTGCTGGCCCCTCCCACCAAACTCCAGCATTGATCAGCTGAAAAAGTGATGATGTCACCGCATCTCAAAAGGGGGATTTCTTGAAAATGAAATTATGCGGCACGGCTACATTGTATACCTCCGAGAAACGATGATGTCACCAAATGACAGCAACTTCCTGTCTGCTATGTCCAGCACTTCCTTTCTAGGAGAGTCCTCTCTTGTTCAGATTAAGGCCGACCTTTACCCCCTTTCCCTAAAAATCCCCCCAGCATGCGTCTCTGCACGCTGATATAACATCACCTCACACTCGTTACAGCTAGAGTTCATCTACTTCCTGGTCCTCTTGCGCATTAGTGATGTCATCGTGCCCGAGCGTTGCATCCTGGGAAGGTGACATCAGCAGAGCATTGCTGGGAAATCTCATCTGTAATCCCACGAGATCTCAGGGAAGGGAAAAGGCATTTTCCTTCCACTGAGATGATGTGCCAGAGTTCCAGGAAGTAAAGGGAGATCTAGTAATCTGCCCTTAGTAAACATGGCCGCTGCCAGAAGACTGGGGGAAGAGAAATAAGGTGCAAAGAACACAAAGCCGGCAATTATCTAGAAGTACACTATATTGCCTAAAGTGTTGGCCCCTCCCCCTCCCAATCATGTGATTCAGGTGTTCCGATCCCCTCCCCCCGGTGTATAGGACGAGGCACCTCAGCATGCAGACGCTTCTACAGACATTGGTGAGAGAACGGGTTGCTCTCAGGAGCTCGGTGACTACAAGCGTGGGACCGTGATAGGTTGTCACCTGTGCAATAAGTCCATCCGTGACATTTCCCGGCTACTAAATATTCCGCCGCGGTCACCTGTTACTGGGATTATAACAAAGTGGAAGCAACTGGGAACAACAGCAACTCAGCCAGGAAGTGGTCGGCCACGTCACATGACAGAGCGGGGTCAGCGCATGCTGAAGCGCACAGTGCGCAGAAGTCGCCATCTGTCTGCAGAGTCAATAGACTCTGCAGCTCCATGGAATGGGGGCGGAGCAGCTGCATCCAAGCCGCACATCACCAAGTGCAATGCAAAGCGTGTGATGCCGCGGTGTAACGCACGCCGCCACTGGACTCTAGAGAAGGGGAGGCGTGTTCTCTGGAGTGACCAATCACGCTTCTCTGTCTGGCAATCCGATGGGCGTGTCTGGGTTTGGCGGTTGCCAGGAGAACGGTACTTGCCTGACTGCATTGTGCCAAGTGTAAAGTTTGGTGGAGGGGGGATTATGGTGTGGGTTTGTTTTTCAGGGGTTGGGCTTGGCCCCTTAGTTCCAGTGAAGGGAACTCTTAAGGCATCAGCATACCAAGACATTTTGGACAATTTCATGCTCCCAACTTTGTGGGAACAGTTTGGGGATGGCCCCTTCCTGTTCCAACATGACTGCGCACCAGTGCACAAAGCAAGGTCCATAAAGACATGGATGGGGGAGTTTGGGGTGGAGGAACTTGACTGGCCTGCACAGAGTCCTGACCTCAACCCCATAGAACACCTTTGGGATGAATTAGAGCGGAGACTGCGAGCCCGGCCTTCTCCTCCAACATCAGTACCTGACCTCACAAATGGTCCAACATTCCCATAGACACACTCCTAAACCTTGTGGATGCCTTCCCAGAAGAGGCGGAGCTGTTATAGCGGCAAAGGGCGGAGCCAACCCAATACTGAACCCTACGTACTAAGACTGGGATGCCATTAAAGTTCATGTGCGTGTAAAAGCGTCCCAATACTTCTGGCAATATATTGTATATCTGATTGTAGATTGTCATCACTGAACATTGCTGAAGGTGTCTTTGTTGTCATTTGGAAGATCTGGATAAAGTTTCTCTTTAAAAAGCACAAAACACAAAAAATTTGTTCCAAAACATAAAACTTTATTTCCTGTAACAAAATCTGATTTCCAGAGATAGCAAAAACCGTGACGACCGAAGCGACATTGTGTCATGTTAGACGATGCAACCAAACTATGGCTGCTCAGTGCAAACATGGGCCATAGGCACTCCTACAAAATGGCAGAGTATTGGTCAAAGCATAATGCGGCACATGGTAGATGACGGGATATAATGTGGGGATCAGATGGGGGGATCAGATGTGGGGATCAGATGGGAGGATCAGATGGGAGGATCAGATGTGGGGATCAGATGTGGGGATCAGATGGGGGGGATCAGATGGGGGGGATCAGATGGGAGGATCAGTGGATCACATGGGGGGATCGGATGAAGGCATCAGATGTGGGGATCAGATGTGGGGATCAGATGTGGGGATCACATGTGGGGATCACATGTGGGGATCACATGTGGGGATCGGATGAAGGCATCAGATGGGGGGATACGATTTAGGAAGGAGCAACAATAAAAAAAAACATACAAGACAATGTTCACACTGATAGAAGACACAAAGATAAGGCACTCACTTCTCTTGGAAATGTTTAAGACTCAACTTCTGCTTTAACTCAACTTAAAACTCAAGGTGCAAGGGCCAGGTCAGCCTAAAATTTTTGAAGGACCACAAATAGGTTTAAGGGTTAGTTGAGACTGAAGATTTAGAAGGACCACGACAGGTTCAATCACCTTCTGGTTTGGTGGTGACATCCTGCTCTCATTCTGGCTTCCTCCGCTCCCTCTGACTGAGACACACCCCTTGGATTAATGCCAAGCCATGACAGGTTGAAGGACCACGAGAGGTTGAAGGGCCAAATACTAAGGTTTTGGAAAGACCAGGAAAGGTTCAGTGACCTGGTTTTGTGTTGACATCCTACTCTCATTATGGACTCCTCCACTCCCTCGGAGACGACCCCCCTCCTGGATTAATGCCAATCCATAGTCTTCCTGGCCTCCTGTTGGATTCTCAATATGTGAAGTATCCAGCATTTGGATCTGAGGGAGGGAGCACTTTGGGGAATTGTTCTCCCCTTCAGAATAAAAGCATCTTCTTAATTTATCTTGGAAATGTTTAAGACTCAACTTCTGCTGATCTATAACTATGGCTTTCTGCCCAACGGACAATATAAAACTCAAGGTGCAAGGGCCAGTTCAGCCTAAAGATTTGAAGGACCATGATAGGTTCAAGGGTCAGCATAGCCTAAAGTTTTAGAAAGGCCATGATAGGTTTGAGGGCCAGGTTCAATCCCCTTCTGGTTTGGTGGTGACATCCTGCTCTCATTATGGCCTCCTCCACTCCCTCTAGCTGAGACAAACCCCGTGGATTAATGCCAAGTCATGACAGGTTGAAGGATCATGATAGGTTCAAGGGAAGGTTCAGTTTTAGAAGGACCTTGATAGGTTCAATGACGTGATTTGGTGGTGACATCCTGCTCTCATTATGGCCTCCTCTACTCCCTCTTAAAACAACCCCCCTCCTGGATTATTGCTAAATCAAAGTCTTGCTGGCCTCCTGTTGCATTCTCTATGTATTATAAAAAGTATCCAGCATATAGACCATGATAGGTTCAAGGGTCAGTATAGTCTAAAGTTTTAGAAAAGCCATGATAGGTTTGAGGGCCAGGTTCTGGTTTGGTGGTGACATCCTACTCTTGTTATGGTCTCCTACACTTCCTCTGAGTTGAGAACCCTTTGTATTAATGCCAAGTCATGACAAGTTGAAGGACCATGATAGGGTCAATCCCCTTCTGGTTTGGTGGTGACATACTTCTCTCATTATGGCCTCCTCCACTCCCTCTGGCTGAGACAACCCCCTTGGATTAAGACCAATCCATAGTCTTTCTGGCCTCTTGTTGAATTCTCCATGCAATATGTAAAGTATCCGGCATTTAGATCTGAGGGGGAGAGGACCAAAATAAAAGCACCTTCCTCGTTTATCTCGGAAATGTTTGAGGCTCAACTTCTGCTGATCTATAACGGTGTTTTGTCCCCCAACAAGCTCAACTCAAAACTTAAGGTGTAAGGGCCAATTCAACCTAAAGTTTTAGAAGGACCATGATAGGGTTCAATCACTTTGTGGCATGGTAGTGACAACGGGCTCCTATTCTGGCTTCCTCCACTCCCTCCGGCTGTGGCAAACCCCAATGCTTAATGCCAAGCCATAGTCTTGGTGGCCTCCTGTTAGTTTCTCCATAAAATATGAAAAGTATCCAGCATTTAGATCTGAGGCGGAGAGGACTTTGGGGAATTGTTCTCCCCATCAGAATAAAAGCATCTTCTTCATTTATCTTGGAAATGTTTAAGACTCAACTTCTGCTGATCTATAACTATGGCTTTCTGCCCAACAGACAATATAAAACTCAAGGTGCAAGGGCCAGGTCAGCCTAAAGTTTTAGAAGGACCATGTTAGGTACGAGGGCCAGGTTCAATCCGCTTCTGGTTTGGTGGTGACATCCTACTCTCGTTATGGCCTCCTCCACTCCCTCTGGCTGAGAACCCCTTGGATTAAGACCAATAAAATGTAAAATTAACAATAACATTAAGACCATAAACTATGTAAATTTATGACAAGTTGAAGGACCATGATAGGGTCAATCCCCTTCTGGTTTGGTGGTGACATACTTCTCTCATTATGGCCTCCTCCACTCCCTCTGGCTGAGACAACACACTTGGATTAAGACCAATCCATAGTCTTGCTGGCCTCTTGTTGAATTCTCCATGAAATATTTAAAGCCTCCAGCATTTAGATCTGAGGAGGAGAGGACTTTGGGAAATTGTTCTCCCCACCAAAATGAAAGCACCTTCTTAATTTATCTTGGAAATGTTTAGGGCTCAACTTCTGCAGATCTTTAACTTGGTTTTTGTCCCTCAACAAGCTCAACTCAAAACTCATGGAGTAAGGGCCAATTCAACCTAAAGTTTTAGAAGGACCATGATAGGGTTCAATCACTCTGTGGCATGGTGGTGACAACCTGCTTCTATTCTGGCTTCCTCCACTCCCTCCGGCTGTGGCAAACCCCTATGCCAAGCCATAGCCTTGCTGGACTCTTGTTGGGTTCTCCATAAACTATGTAAAGTATCCAGCGTTTACACCTGAGGGAGAATGGTTCTTGGGGGATTGTTGTCCCCATCAAATTCCAGGGACTTTAACCAAGTGGTGGACGGTCTGGCCCGCAAATCTATGCGAAGTCAAGATAACAGCTTTCAATGCAACAACCCTTTCTGATGGTCAACAAATGTCACCTAAACACGGCTAAATGGCCAAACATTAACAAATGACCTCGTGGACACTCCATGCGGACTCCGGGGTTACCCACTGTTGGTCTTTAACTGTCGTTGTCATCGCTCTCCTCTTCATCCGTCTCCTTGAGATCATCCATGATGAGGTCATCCAGGTCGCATTCGATCAGGCTGCCCTGGCTCAAGCAAGTGGCCACGGTGGACCCCGTGCTCACATGTTGGGCGCTGCCGTACAGCACTTTGGGTTGGTGGTTTTTGGCTCTGCTTCGAGGGTGGACGCACTGCATGCCCGGAATGTGAGGCTCTGCGGGGGAAAGAGAGAGAAGGACGATATCTCATATCAACCTTCATGTTCAACAACCTACTAAACACGAAGCATTGCCTGTGAAGGTAAGGAGCCAATATGGCTGTGGGGAGCGGGGGAGGAATGACTCAGGGTACCCCATACTGGTATGACTGGGCTCCATTGGTGGACTGGGCTGCTGGGGGAGGAATGACTCAAGGTACCCCATACTGGTATGACTGGGCCCCATTGGTGGACTGGGCTGCTGGGGGAGCGGGGGAGGAATGACTCAGGGTACCCCATACTGGTATGACTGGGCCCCATTGTTGGACTGGGCTGCTGGGGGATGGCTGTGGGGAGCAGGGGAGGAATGACTTAGGGTACCCCGTACTGGTATGACTGGGCCCCATAGGTGGACTGGGCTGCTGGGGGATGGCTGTGGGGAGCAGGGGAGGAATGACTTAGGGTACCCCGTACTGGTATGACTGGGCCCCATAGGTGGACTGGGCTGCTGGGGGATGGCTGTGGGGAGCAGGGGAGGAATGACTTAGGGTACCCCGTACTGGTATGACTGGGCCCCATAGGTGGACTGGGCTGCTGGGGGATGGCTGTGGGGAGCAGGGGAGGAATGACTTAGGGTACCCCGTACTGGTATGACTGGGCCCCATAGGTGGACTGGGCTGCTGGGGGATGGCTGTGGGGAGCAGGGGAGGAATGACTTAGGGTACCCCGTACTGGTATGACTGGGCCCCATAGGTGGACTGGGCTGCTGGGGGATGGCTGTGGGGAGCAGGGGAGGAATGACTTAGGGTACCCCGTACTGGTATGACTGGGCCCCATAGGTGGACTGGGCTGCTGGGGGATGGCTGTGGGGAGCAGGGGAGGAATGACTTAGGGTACCCCGTACTGGTATGACTGGGCCCCATAGGTGGACTGGGCTGCTGGGGGATGGCTGTGGGGAGCAGGGGAGGAATGACTTAGGGTACCCCGTACTGGTATGACTGGGCCCCATAGGTGGACTGGGCTGCTGGGGGATGGCTGTGGGGAGCAGGGGAGGAATGACTTAGGGTACCCCGTACTGGTATGACTGGGCCCCATAGGTGGACTGGGCTGCTGGGGGATGGCTGTGGGGAGCAGGGGAGGAATGACTTAGGGTACCCCGTACTGGTATGACTGGGCCCCATAGGTGGACTGGGCTGCTGGGGGATGGCTGTGGGGAGCAGGGGAGGAATGACTTAGGGTACCCCGTACTGGTATGACTGGGCCCCATAGGTGGACTGGGCTGCTGGGGGATGGCTGTGGGGAGCAGGGGAGGAATGACTTAGGGTACCCCGTACTGGTATGACTGGGCCCCATTGGTGGACTGGGCTGCTGGGGGAGCGGGGAGGAATGACTCAGGGTACCCCGTACTGGTATGACTGGGCCCCATTGGTGGACTGGGCTGCTGGGTGATCGCTGTGGGGAGCGGGGGAGGAATGACTTAGGGTACCCCATACTGGTATGACTGGGTGCCATTGGTGGACTGGGCAGCTGGGGGAGGAATGACTCAGGGTACCCCATACTGGTATGACTGGGCCCCATTGGTGGACTGGGCTGCTGGGGGAGCGGGGGAGGAATGAATCAGGGTAGCCAATACTGGTATGACTGTATAGCTCATAAGGCAAACCTCCCCAATTACCTCTGCGGTTGTAGCAGTCTTCGGCAAAGCAGCTGTGAGGGTTGCGGGTCCGTGGGCCCTTGTTCCGGCGTGGAGGAAGTATGTGAGTGGGCAGGACGGGCGTTCCACACAGGTAACACGGGCAGGCGCAGCCCATCTGAGAGAATCCCCTGCAAGAGCAAGACGAGACTTGGGAGGAGAGTACGGAAAGGCAAATCCACAACAGACCCGAAACCACCGAGTGCGCCAACCACACAGAACCGAAACCACCGAGTGCGCCAACCACACAGAACCGAAACCACCGAGTGCGCCAACCACACAGATCCGAAACCACCGAGTGTGCCAACCACACAGATCCGAAACCACCGAGTGTGCCAACCACACAGATCCGAAACCACCGAGTGTGCCAACCACACAGATCCGAAACCACCGAGTGTGCCAACCACACAGATCCGAAACCACCGAGTGTGCCAACCACACAGATCCGAAACCACCGAGTGTGCCAACCACACAGAACCGAAACCACCGAGTGCGCCAACCACACAGATCCGAAACCACCGAGTGTGCCAACCACACAGATCCGAAACCACCGAGTGTGCCAACCACACAGATCCGAAACCACCGAGTGTGCCAACCACACAGATCCGAAACCACCGAGTGTGCCAACCACACAGATCCGAAACCACCGAGTGTGCCAACCACACAGATCCGAAACCACCGAGTGTGCCAACCACACAGATCCGAAACCACCGAGTGTGCCAACCACACAGATCCGAAACCACCGAGTGTGCCAACCACACAGAACCGAAACCACCGAGTGTGCCAACCACACAGAACCGAAACCACCGAGTGTGCCAACCACACAGAACCGAAACCACCGAGTGCGCCAACCACACAGAACCGAAACCACCGAGTGTGCCAACCACACAGAACCGAAACCACCGAGTGTGCCAACCACACAGAACCAAAACCACCGAGTGTGCCAACCACACAGAACCGAAACCACCGAGTGTGCCAACCACACAGAACCAAAACCACCGAGTGCGCCAACCCCACAGAACCGAAACCACCGAGTGCGCCAACCACACAGAACCGAAACCACCGAGTGTGCCAACCACACAGAACCAAAACCACCGAGTGCGCCAACCACACAGAACCGAAACCAGTCTCTGACCTCCTCCTGTACTAGGTCTGCAGTCTCTGAGAAGTAAGATACAGGAAGTGGACACAACGATGAGGGTGAGGAACATACTTGAACATGCGGTTGCAGGCCCGGCAGTGGAACTCGGCGAACCCCCACATCTTATCCCGGGGCACCGGGTCATATCTCTTCCGGCAGCCGTGACATCTGGACACCTGGACGGAGGAGAGAAGAGCGCGGTGATAGAACGCCGGCGACATCCCAACATCTCTGAACGAGGGGTCAGGTGCTCTCAGTCCCAGTGGCGGCTTCTATCCGACTCTCGGGTCCAAGACAAAGGTTCCATGCGGACCAAACGCTATCCACC